TATTTAATATCTTGACCATATTTGTCACCATTACAGAACAGAGTAAGCCAAGCTAAGCCTGGACTGCATGGCTGCACCCTCTTAAGCATCAACACCCAGCAGCTGCATCTCAAACCAACTTAAGGTGTTGATTTCATTCCTTTTTGTTGGTGTCACGTTACTTCTCAGCAACTTGAACCAACTGGGCAAGCTGACTGTGTATCTGTGTGAGACTACATCTGGTGTTATTGTTTGTGTGTTTACCATTCTTATCATACACATCCAGTCTTGTGTGCAAGGTCTTCCCCTGCAAAACAACTGAGCCAACGCCCCAGAAACCAAATGTGTCCCGAATACCAGGGAAGCTAGTCAAGATTTTTTCTCATCTAATTTTTCAGTAAGTTATTCTATGGAAATATAAATACGTTTTCATTTTCAGCATAGTCTATCTTAATGAAATGCAGATAAAAAGTGAGTTGTCAGCACTCTCTCATTTGTCACAGGAGTGTCTGTCAACTGATTTCCTTTCCCACCAATGTGAGCATTTCTTCTTCATCATATATACAGTCATCATGTGTTCAGGCGAAAACAACTTCACATTTGGATTCACAATTCACATGTGTGGTTGTACCAGTCCCTTCTCCTTCTAAGATCAGAGCTACATTCAGTCCCTCTCTACATCAGCCCAATATCAGCTTATTTCCTGCTTCCCCCTCAGCTTTCTTCCTGATTGCTCATAATCATTTTATTGGCGATCTAATTTGTTCAAGTTACCTGAGGGCTGTGGGTATGCTGTTCTACTCATCAGGATAGTTAAGCTGAAGGCAAGGAGTCTACGCCTCCTCTTGACTGTAGGCACATGGCTGAAACAAGTCCAGAAAGCTCAGCACCTCTTAGGGCAAAGCCTTTGTTACCATTAATACCTTATATGAATGTAGCATATCAGTAATTGTGGAAGGGAATAAATTAGGTTCCTTCTTGTAGTCCAAAAATGCCAAACTTTGCCCTAAAGCCTTTGAAGGCAGCACAGTACAGAATGTCCCTGCACCAGTACTGGGAACTGTTCTAACACCCATTCCTGGCTATCCAACTTTTTTATGTAATGCAGCAGAGGAGCAGAGACATTGCTTCTTTCCCCTGTAACCAGAGGGAAAATGATGGAACATTCATTATAGTAATTTATGTCAGTCATGAATGCATTTAAACCAATAAAAAATTCTGCCAAATATTCCTCCAAAGCCAAAGTGTGTTCTTGAGGAGTGATAAAACACTTCACCACATTTTTTTTAAACAAAGCCTCTGTAGAAGAATCCAGGTATTTCTTTTGATGTTATAAAATGCCTGAGAGTTAAATATAATAATCCCTGGCTTTGTTAGTGTTTGTTATTCAGCCTCTATATTGAAGGCTTCTAGCTTGAGTGAATTGACATTGGACCAGAGCCTGACACAACATATTAGCTCAAATGTAAAGAACTTATTTGGGTTTGGCGAGGGAAATATTTATTGAAAACAGAGTCTTGTAAAGTTGGTTGTGATAAGCGTAAGTTGACATTTAGATTGTTTGGAACTTTAAATTCTAAAAGAGAATCAATCAAACATTAGGAAGTTTTTCCAAATTTTCTAACGTTTTATATTTATCTCCAAGCTAATTTTTAGTTCCTGCTCTTTCTCAAGACATAGCTACCATCAGAGAAGTCTCATCAGTCAAAAGGATTCAAAATAAAATCTTAAAATCAATTTGACAGATTAACCATTTTTTCTTTCAGAAATAAGTTCTACTTTGCCCTAAAAACTCTTAATCATTGAAAAGACTTTAGAATATACTAAGCAAAATTCTAAGTGTTTGTATTTCTCATTGTTGGATTTTTCTATAATTTACGGCACATAAAGTAAATTGTTAGCTGTTTTCTCATAGTTTTTCTCTGTTTTGGCAGCTCTTATTGTTCAGAATCAACAGAACATCTGTTAAAGTGACTCAATATCTAAGGGCAAAATCCATTCCAACACGCATGATCCAAGTAAACAAGCCCAACCAGGGCAAGAAACATATATCTTCATTTCTTGGAATACAAATGACCCATGAATTCAACTGTTGTGGAAAGAGCCTCACCATTGAGTCTCATCTCTAAGGCATTCCAGTTCCCAAAGCCTCCACCATATTTTTGTGGTATTTGTTGTCATAATCAACTGGGAATCACTTGAATGGAGCCTGTACTTCAGGACAGTCTCATCTGATATTTTGGGCATGGAGAGAGACTTTATAAAACATTCAGAGACAGTTTTGTTATTGCAGTTTGATACACAGACATTCACCTGCCACTTCTATCCATACTATTTGCTCACACTTACATTCTTCATCTCTTTCATTACCAAAGTCCTTACTTGCATAGACAAACTCAGTGATGGCATGTCTGAAAGGCAAGGAGAAGTTGGGATCTTATATACTGATATCACTAAACTATAAATAATAAATTTTATATGCTAGTAAACTATAAATGCCATAAATAATAATGCATTTGAAATATTATTTATATTAAATTCTGTCTGCACCTAGGTAGATATTTTGGCATATTATGCTTTGTGCCCAGAGAATCTGACTTCTCATCACCTGTTCAGGCACCTTCCCAATGAACAGCATTCTGCCTCCCTTGATGTACAAGAAAAGACAGGGAGAAAAGGCTAGGTTTGCTCAGACTGGACAAATCTAATTTCTGTCTTCAGATCATTATAGAGCAGACTGAGTTGAGTCTTCTCAGATTGTGCATGGTGAAAAGATGGGAAACGGACATAGGTTTCCCAATATGGGAAATTCCCAATAAATATATTTGAAAAAAAATCCTCTTCATTGAGGGTGATTACATGCTGGAAATTATGGTTTTCTAGTGATAATTTGTTGTATGTTTGTCATTAGTACATCCATTTTTTTATGATAAATTATTTTCTAGACTTTATTAAATGTGTCTTTACTCAAAAAGGAGAAGTCAAGTATTTTTCTAGCAACCCAACTATAAACCAACAGAACCTATGATTGCCACCTCTGTTTTTGAGCAGTCAAGCTACAAATCTTCATGATTGCCCTGAGCTTCCTACAGGAAGCTGGAAGGTCTTCCTGCAGTGCATCCCAACCACGGTAAAAAACCCAGGATATTATGGAAGCTTAATAAAGGAGGAGAGGTCACTGAGAGCCAAAATGGGCCATTGTCCAACCAGAGAAAGATGCCATATCTTATATCCATTCAGAGAATTCCAGAGAATTTGTGAACTCTGGGCTGAACAGACCAAGTCGGGGCAAGACCTTTCACTAAAGGAGACAGCTGTGTGGCTGTGAAATCTTCTTCAAGTTATCCTTTCCCATTCCACCAGTGGAACACAAAGTACTAAGGCTCAGTTCTCCCATCTTTCCATTTGGGATTCATTTTAACCAAGCAGGAAAGATAGGATAAGTTTGTTCAGTGACCAAAACGGTTATATTATGGATTACATGGTTGTCTTTTAATTTCAAATGAAAAATNAGACCTAAACTTTCACTGATATGTAGGCAAACAACATGTGTGTTTGTCTCAGTCCCTATTTTTTCTTACATTAAGAAAACAGAACCTGAACTTTTGTTTCTAGACAAAATTTCTTTGAGATTATTGCAAAATTAGCTTCCAGATTTGCTTTCATATTAATAGTTTCAATCAAAGACAAAAAAATTGTCTTGAAGAATCAGCTTTATACATTTGGTAACTTGTCCTCCAGTTTTTCCTTGGTGGTAGTAATTGACAGCTGCAAAACTCAGAGTGCCTTTGGATAAGTGCACTAAGATAAGCTTATTTTTTTCCAGGAAGCTTCTTTAAATTATCCCTTAGGGGGCAACAACTTTGAAAAAAAATAACAATAACAACAAAAGTACTTCTGACACACAGCAGCTTCTAAATTTATAACTGGTTTAAACGCTAAAATAATTCTACTCAGTGCTGTCTTGACAGATGATATACAGTAACACCCTACATGGCAAGATGGAACACATACTATGCAGAGGAATTTGAGCAGTTAAAAACCATGTCTAAACTGCTGTATCCAAAAATTATGCATTTCCTATTCCCCTTGGGTGCACAATTAGCTGTGAGCTCCAAAGATATGCCAGAAATAGCAGAGCATCACAAAAACAACAGTCACAGTGAAAACTCCCGGATCCCAAATCCATCCGAATGGGTAGACACCACAGACCTTGTCAACTACTCTTCTGTAACTTCTCTTTCATAAGCTTGAACTTGGAAGAGCTAAGAACAAGAGCTGGTTTTGTTGCTCTCTTCTAGAGGCAAAGGAAACATACCCCACATTCACCTCAGGGAATTCCTCTACTGATTTGGAACCATTGGTCATTCACTCCAAACAGAACTCATGTGCCCTAACTTTTCCATGTTCCACATCATAATGTCAAGACTGATCTCACAGTTCAAATATAACCAGTCATAAGTTTATAAAAAGCAAATACTAAATATGGAGAGCTACGCCTCAAATCAGAATGTTTTGGAATATGTTTTCTGATCATAATTGCAGAAAAACCCTTGAAATGTGAAATGAAGAGTATATATTTGCTATTTTTCTATTAATATCTTGGGTTCTATTCTGGGAGCAATATGGAGATGTCTGCACAATACCTATGCTCCTCTTAAAGGTTTCCATAACATGTAGAAACATACCCAGTGAGTTTTATTTCCATAATTTTTCACCCTGCTAAAGCACATCTTAAAACAGAAATGTTTCACTGTACAAGAGCAGACACATCACATGAACATTTTTTGTGTACTGGGGACCCATTTATGAAAAAAAATTTTACCATTTCCTGAAAATAAGTTACATGACCTTCTACAAAGGATTGTGGGAGAATGAGGACTATATATTCTGAAAATGAAGATCACTTCAAAAACTGTAGGGGATATTCTCTGCTCTGAGAAGAAACCAGGTGATCCTCTTGGATTTTAATTTGCTTCTATCCAACATATTTGTAGAATGAACTCACATTGAATTCAAAGAAATCACAGAATGACTGGGTTGGAAGAGACCTTCAAGATCATCAATTCCAACCCATGCCCTACCACCTTAACTAAACCATGGCACTGAGTGCCACATCCAGTCTTTTTTTAAACACATCCAGAGATAGTGACTCCATCACCTCCTCAGGCAGACCATTCCAGTACTTTATCACTCTTTCCATAAAAAATTTTCTCATGATATCCAACCTAAATTTCCCTTGGTGCAGCTTAAGGCTGTGTCCTCTTGTTCTGTCAGTGCTGCTTGGAGAAAGAGACCAACCCCACCTGACTGCAGCCACCTTTAGGGAAGATGTAGAGAGTGATAAGGTCACCCCTGAGTCTCCTTTTCTCCAGGCTAAACAACCCCAGCACCCTCAGCCATTCCCCACAGGGTTTGTGTTCCAAGCCCCTCACCAGCCTTGTTGCCTCCTCTGGATGTGCTCAAGCATCTCAATGTCCTTCCCAAACTGAGGGGACAGAACTGGACACAGAACTCGAAGTGTGACCTCACCAGAGCCAAGTACAGGGGAAGAATGACCTCCCTGCTCCTGCTGGCCACACTGTTCCTGACACAGGCCAGGATGCCATTGGCCTTCTTGGCCACCAGGGCACACAGCTGGCTCATGTTCAGCTGGCTGTTGACCAGTATCCCCAGGTCCCTTTCTGCCTGGGCACTGTCCAGCCACACCATCCCCAGCACTGCAGGGGTTATTGTGGCCAAAATGCAGGACTTGGCACTGAATTTATTAAACTTCATCTTATTGGACTCTGCCCATCCATTCAACCATTCCAGGTGTCTCTGCAGAGCCCTCCTACCTTCCAACAGATCAACACATGCCCCAGCTTTGTGTCATCTGCAAATTTACTGATGAAAGACTCAATACCCTCATCTATGTTATCAATAAAAATGTTGAACAGGACTGGCCCCAGCACAGATCCCTGGGGGACACCACTGGTGGCTGATCCCCAGCTGGATGCAGCACCTTTCACCACCACTCTCTGGGCCTGGCCATCCAGCCAGTTCTCATCCCAGCACAGAGTGCTCCTGTCCAAGCCATGGGCTGCAGCTTTTCCAGGAGTGTGCTGTGGCAGACAGTGTCAAAGGCCTTGAAGTCCAGGTACACAACATGCACAGCCTTTCCTGCATCCACCAGGTGAGTTTGGACTCTATTCAGATCATAAACAGTGGTGTCTCTGTTAGTTACATCTCTAATGCTCTGGAGAATAGCAGGTTCCCCTCCTCACACAGGTGATATGAATATTCCCTATCAGCTAGGAAGAGACACTCAGAGCTTAAATACCTGCCAGCCCAATGTTCAATTACCTCTTTAAAGTATTGTGTGCCACACAATACAAACAGAAGAGATAAAATCTATTTCATATTTTAAAGACTCTCGTATGCTTTTGCACAGCCCATTTTATCTTCTTACACCCCTCCTAGTTCTGTTGTTCTGGAGTCCCTCTCCCAACTCACATACGTCTCAGGAACAACCCACTCAGTTCCAAAACATCCTGCTCTATTAGTAGTACAATCTGTTACTATTGCCATGAATCAAGCAGAGATTTTTCCACTATTCTCTTTTACTTGCTTAAAACAGCTGCATTGTTATCTCCTGATCAGAGGTATAAACTGAGCACAGCAGAAGACCAGGCTTGAAAACCACTCTCAAACCTTAATTTATGTGGAGTGGTCTGCAAGGTCATTGTTTCCAAGCCAAAATTCAATTCCCTGATAGAGAGTAATTTATTAGGCTGTTCAAAAATAATGAAATAAGCGGTTTAAAAAAGTCAAAGGTGACTTCTAATGACTATTTTCTCAGCGTGAACATGACTAATATTTTCTTACATTTTATAATATTTTATTTAAAAATCTAAAATTTGCTTGACATGATGAGAAGATACAGAACAAGAGATGACAAAAAGATATACCAATAGAAATACTTCATCCTTTTTGTAGTTGCTTGTTACAACTGTGTTAAGCCTGGTGGGTTCTATAAATTCAGCCATGTGGAACATTGCCCATGAGACACATACCAAGTGAGCTGTCTTTGAAGGCTCTAGTTTGAATTGAAGAAATTTCCTTTGCCACCCTACAATACCTCCTGTGCATCTTTATCAAAGTGCTCTTGAGGGATATCAGAAACACTGGAAGGTTTTAAAACCAGTGATATTCATCACTCCTTTAACAAACCTCCAGCAAGGTAGAGAAAGGATGTGGATATTAAGTTTCTTCATATTGAGTTAATGGGTTGAACACTCTAAAATGCAATTTGGGACAGTTAGGTGATCAGATCTGCTTGAATCACCAGATGAAGCCCATTTGGCTCTGATGCTCAGGTACTCAAGGAATCTTCAACATGGTCCTCCAAGTTAGGCACTGTACAGACTCCTTGCTGACATTACATGTGCACCTTCATTCCCTCCTGGCCCCCAGGACCATCAGTCTCATGCTGTTCTTTGGCACCTCTTCCCAGCGAGTAGAAAATTATTATCCAAAGGCAAACTATATGTGCGATTTAGCTGGTGGCCACAAAAGAGGAAACTGATGATATAAAGGGCCATGTTCCATGCCTGTAAGTATTTGTGAATTTGGAAATCAGGATACTTGCATAGTCCTTCCCCAGAACTTTCTATAGGATGGAAACAAAAATGTTGACTTGCTAACTTAGCAAAATGTAGCCTCATTTCGAAGCTAGAGAATTATAAGTTAGAAGAAGGGTTTCGTTTCTCTTTACCCTGCCTGGCTGCTCTAATCCTATGAGAAAAAGTTAGATTGAAAACATTTAGTACAGCACTCATACATATATGACACAGGCAAGGGATTGTATGAGCACAGCTGAAAGCTTCTATCAGCAAAATAAGTTTGTTTTGAAAGTGCCAAGATATCATCTACCTTAGTTTTCTGTGTGCAGACAGCAAGGACAGGGCAGCTATGTTTCAGCAGGATAATACTGATATTTAGAAATGAAACTTACATTTGTCTTAGTGCAATCAGGAGGCTCTCAGCATTTTGAATGTCAGTATACTTATGAAAAAGCCAAAGCAGAAATGAAAACATATACGTCTAATTTTAGAACCCTGATAACGCAGTTCTAGCCTTCACTTAGCAGACAGCTTGCAGCAATTTTAGATGGTATCAACTTTATATTTCAGTTCCTCCACTTAAAATAAAGGGCCAACGCCTTTTTGAGTTTCATGTTGTGTTAAAAAAAAACAAGTAACAAAACAACAAAACCCCAACCAAGTAACACCTTGCTCATAAAATAATCTACTCAAAATAACACTGACAAAGCAGAAAGATTTCCTTCCATGATGGCAATTTGTATTTCCATATATAAAGCCTATTTTTAATCTATTGTTAGGTAGCCACACTAGGATTAAGCAAGCACCAGGCTCCATGAGCCAGATTTTTTATTTTAATGGATCTCTCAAAGCAACACAGAATCTATTCCTCTAGTAGAAATGCCCTTTTGAAAAATGGTTCAAGAAAGGCTGCAGCTCAGTACCAGCCTCTTCGACAAACTCAATGCCTTTTGTGAATGTCCTAATATGCTACTTAATTATGAGACAAAAAATACAGAATATTGAACAAGCTTTTTTTTTTCCCAAATAAATATTTTGAAGATGATTAAAGTGTCTTATCAGGTAGCATGATAAATAAATGTGTTTAAAAGTCTATGTCTTATTTTCTGCTTTTTAAAAAATGCTCATCTGTAGTAAGGGATGGATCTCTAAGGACTTGTTGGAATTGTGCTATTTATCAACAGTCAAATGTGGGGAAACAACAATGAACACTGAGCACATGCTGCTCTGTACTAGCACAGTGAGTAGTGTACAAAAACAAAACCCACACTTCTGACAGGGACCCATTTATTCTGGACATTCATGTATTTCCCTGCCATGACCAATCAATTCTTGAATAAACTTTCCATACTATAGTTACGGAAATGCTTTTCTGAAAGGTTTTCTCTGGGTTCTGATTCATCTGTGTTTTCCAAAGTTGTAAATATCTGAACTGTAAAAATCTGAACTGTGATTCATCTAAAGGCATTTAAAGATATGAAAGATATTTATCACTTTTTAAAGATGCCATTGCAGTACCTTTTTATAAAATTAAAGTAAATTTCACTGCATTATCCAGCTCTCATTAGTTTGCTTTTTTATTTATCATATTAAGAATATTTTCCTGGATAGGCTTGGATTGTTTGAATCTGTAGGAACTGATAAACTAACAGACTCTATTATGACTGTGAAATTTTGACTTTCATCCTATTTCATGCTGTGGGAGACCATTGTCTTAAAGCCAAAAATCTTTCATTGTAGTCAATGTGGTGACCTCGACAGAAGGGCAGAAATTTCAAACGGCTGCATTCCTGTAATTCTGTAATTCCTGTAATTGTGTAATTCAGTATGGACAGCCACAGGGGAAAGTGTGCATGACTCTGTCTCACTGACCAGACTTGTTACTGTGTTGTGAACTATAGGCCAAGAAGTTTCAAAGGCCATTTTAACAGCCACAGATGCTCAAGATACCATGGCTAGAGATCTGCCTGGGTAAGGTGCATTCCACCACTGCTGCCTAAATACATCATTTTTGCTTATGTGACACTTCAGAATCCTGCAGGGATTTTCTGTAATACTCCTATAAGCCTTTAGCCAATGGAAAGAGTTCTCAAGGAAACAAATTTTTCAGAATCACTCTGTTGTCTGGGAAGGTAAATTCATGTATGTTGAGTGAGGCACACTCAAGATGGATACTAGTGCTTTTTCTGCAGCTGCAATCACTGCAAGTATACACCCACAAACTCCTTGTCTCTTCCCGAGAAGTATCTATCTGATTCCAGTACTTACACTCAATAACATTCTTAGGCTGTGGGATTCAGGACGCTTACATGATCCCATTCTTGATTAGGTTTTTGTCTTTGAACAAAACCTCTGTTTCTATTTAATAAAAGAAATTGCAGGATGAGATTTAAATGATACCTGTCTTTCTGAAATATATTTTCTGCAGCTTGATTCTGGTGGTAGGAAAATTGAAGAATCACAGAATGGTTTGGGTTGGAAGGGACCAGTAAAGGTCCTCTAGTCCAAGTTCTGTGCAATCAGCTGGGACATCTTCAACCAGAG